AAAAAGAGAGGGAAAAGGGGAAAAAAGGAGGGAAAGAGAAAAAAAAAAAGGGGGGGGGGGGGGGGGGGGGGGGGGGCGTATGAAGGAGCTGCTAAGTTTGTGGGGTGAGACCTACATGGTACCGACAGAGAAAGACAGAAAATATGAGGTGAAAAATCTTCAGATGGGAGATAACTAAAGCTTGGAAATTTGAAAGACTTCAGTTGGAGACTGATATGTAAACGCTAGTTGAGTGATGGTGAAGAAAGGAGCTTGAAAGTTCTCTATCAGTTTTTCTGCCAGCCCCTCTGGAGACATCTCTCTGTCTCTCAAATTGAAAGAACATCAAGGGACAGTGGGTCTCGTGACTTTAAAAGGGGGGAAATAGGGAGAGGGAGAAGCTTGGGCAGGTGGATGGTATTGCGGTTTGATTAAGTTGAGAGAGGAAGAGAATGAGAGCGACGTTGCCTTTAAGATTTTGGCTTACTAAGGGGACTAGTTCTTTGGCCTAAAACAACTAGTCCCATGTCCAATAACAAAACCAAGTGCATTCATATTACAATATGCACATGTGTGTTTGTGTATGTTTCTACTGGCTGTTAAAGCTTTTACCTACAAGAGATCACATTCAATTACTCATGTCCTTTGGCCCCAGCATCAAATCAATATCCCAGCAGCTATGCAAGATAGCATGCATACCTTTAGGGTAATCAAGACAACCTAGCTATACACATGGTGTAGTGACCAATGTTGTTATGTTGAGGCCATGCTAAAGATAATCTTCCACACAAATCAAAGCCCTCCTGCACATAGTACCCTGAGCTTGCCCTATATCATTGAAGTGTTTCTGTCAATTGATCTAGTACTTATCAAGGGGTTTGCTTGTGATTTTAGTTGCAATACAAGAAAAAAAGTTTTGTACGTCAACACAATGCTATCCCAAAAATATTTTTTTCGTCACAAATATTTTTTATGGCGGGACAGTGGCGGCATTCCTTTCGCTATAATAAATGGGTCTCAAAAAGTATATGTAACGGCACTTCGCCACCACAAAAAGGTCATAGGCTTTTTGCCACAACATCTTAGGCTGAACCCATCGGCATGTGAGTAACTTAATACCTCCATATGTCAACAAAAAAAAAATTCCATAGCAATCATATTATTCATTACAAATACTTGAACATATCCACACAAAAAAAAAGTCCAAAGTACATGATTCTTTTAATCTAATCGTTGAATGGCATAGGATCTTCCAAAGACTATCTACATACTCTCCCTCCAAACCTGAAAAAAAAATCAAAAACTCAGTTAAGATAATAAATTTGAAAAAGCAACATACCTATCATCAGACATATCTATAAAGATAGGTAAAAATGACAATTCATTGGAAAAAGAAATCTTGGTGCAAATTATACAAAGATCAACTCAACATAAAGACATGGAACTAACAATAAAATAATAGAACAATCATTTCAAAAATTGAAGAACTCGTGTGTAATCTTATCATGCATCATAAAAAAGAATAATTAACAATAAATTTTGATTTCATTTTAATAACACAAAAGGCACACTTTCAAAAAGATAAATAAAACCCGCCCCTTCAGTTCTCTTTTCTTGACAAAACTAGGACCTGTTTGGTTTGCGTTTCAAAAAATAGTATTCGAAAACAGTTTTTGAGATAAATTTTAAGAAAGTGATTTTGATATTTTTTGAGATAAAAAACTTGTTTGGTTAGATGATTTCAAAAACAATTTTACAATACAGAAAATAGTAAAACTTGTTTGGATAGCCTAAATATGTAGTTGAACAGTACCTCAAACATTAATAAAAAAAAATATAAAAAAAGTTATTTTTAGATTGACAATTTTATAAAACAAAAAATCAATAAACCAAACTTTAAAATATATATATACATGTATATATATCTGAAGATCCAAAATTGTTCTCTTTGTTTCCGAAATTTTCAAAGAAAACTCTGAAAACAAGTTACACTTGTTTTTTATTTTTTTGACTTAAATCTCATTTTTTTTCTCAAAATTTAGAGAAAAAAAATGCTAAACAGACAAGTTTTGAGTATTTTTAAAATTTTGAGAATAAAAAACTGTTTTTAAAATGATAACCAAACATGACCCTAATTTTTAACCATGATTTGATTGTTGAGATCTGGCCAACCTTTTTTGTTAAAAAGAAAAAGTTTGTGGGGAATTACTGTTGTTAACAAAGAAGTGTTGTAACATCTTCAAGCATTTAATAGATACAATTACCTTGGCATCTTGTAAGGCATTGAGTCTCTCACTCAAAAGGCTCACCTATTAACACATCGAAGGAGTAGAAAAAAACCCTGAAAAAGGGAGAATGCAAATATCACACCACCATCGGAGGAAATCTTCATGTAGGATTCTAAATCAAGCAAAACCCTAGTGTTCTTGAAAGAATTCAAAAACTAAAGGGGAGAGAGGGGATTACTTAGATAGTGGTAGATTGGTTGTCATCGGTGGTTGATTGGTCATTGTCACTCTTGTGCTAAGCTAAGTTAAGAAATTGAAAATTGATTATGTTTTATTAATATAGATTGTCATCTTAGGAATGATAGCGTTGATATCCATTATTTCACATTAAGCAACTTAATTGTCTTTTTTTTTTGACAGACTATCTGGTATCCAAAAGCCACAACAAGCTCCGAATAATCCGGATTCGAGTCGGGGAGAACCGCAAGGGCGGTAAAGCAACTTAATTTTCATTGGATATAAAATATGCCTTTAAGTGCAAAATACAACAAGTGGCATAGTTTCAATGTAAATAAAACAAGTCCAAATAGCAAATAATTTCATCAGTACAGAAAAAACACAACAGTAAAACTAAAAGTTTCAAAGAAACAATGTGCATCACATTCACGAACAACTACTTGAACCAAGTTTTCCAAAATAAAAAGTCATTCAATAGATTAAAAAAAAAACTAAAATCATTACAATATTTACAGATTAAAGAATAACCTAGCTCATATGTGTCTTTCGAGTGATATAAGCAACTATCCACTGCTGGTTATACTTTCCATGTATATGAATTTAGGTACTCCTAACTATCAGTTGACACTAATGTTCTATTGGTTGTGTGGGTATTGCTCTGTTTGACACAAGGTGCCTTCACAGTTGTCATGTTTCCTATTCAATCTGTTTCATGATCTATAGAAATATACCAGTAATGAACCTCTTTCGGTTTTAATGATATTCATCATAATGAACTTGCAGCGGGTTTGCAGGGCGACTCAAGTCAATTTAAGGAAAGGAAAATATTAAATTGAGGTCTTTTTTATTTTAAGTGTTACTTTTTTAAAAAAAATTAATTTATTTTTGATTTTCTATGTGAGAGAGACAAAAAAATGGATATGTTGATGTTGTCCAGAAAGAGATTTTAAATTATTTTTATTTTTTACCAGAGAGAGAGTGGGTAGGAGTAAATATGAGTTGATTTTTGATTTTTTTTTTATTTTTAAAATTTATTTGTTTTTTAATGTTATGGATTAGATTATAAGTCCAAATTATTGCAATAAAATTTTTGATTGAATTTAATTTTTTGGGATTTTTTTGTAAGGCTTAAAATTTAATGGATTTAATTTTTTTTAGGGCTACTGATATACCTAAAATTAGAATATATTACCAATATACAGCAAAATTAAAACATAATTATCGATATACAGTTATTTTGAACATATTTACCCATCTATGGCAATTTTAAAAGCGGAATTAAAAATTACGCCTTCAAATAAAAGCGGAATCCAAAAATACAACTTCATTGGTAAAGCAAAATCTTCAAATCCGTTTTTACACTAAAAGCGTATTTATCAAATCCGCTTTTACAAGAAAAAACGTATATTTTATATTCCAATGAAAGCGGATGTGTTAAATCCACTTTTACGGAAGGTAAATATATTCATAAGAAAAAAAAAACAGAGGTGATGCTCACCTGACAATGCATCCACCCAATACAAAAGTAGAACCAAAAGATTTACAACAACCAAGAGTGTAGAATTCTAAAGAATTCCAGCAGAATCCAAACTCAAAGGAGACAAAGAAAGCAAAGCGGCTTCCATCGGATAATATGGAAAGCCCAATGCCAACACATGCCAACAGCCAAGTGGGAGAACAAATGGATGAAGGAGTCGTGAACAATGCCCAGCAACTGTGGCAGGCTGCAATGGAGACCAGGCAGTAGACCAAGGGCAGCAGACACCATAATAAAAGGCAGCTGAGGGGAACCAGCTGAAACAACAGATAAAAGGTCATCAACACTCTTCTGAAGAAAGAAGAAAACATAGGAGAAAGGCCAGCAACTGCATTAAACAAGCTGTGCACTTGAACAGTGCATTCCTGTCAACAAAAAACTTCAAGGCACAGGAGACCCCCCAGCAACATGATCCATCCCAAAGCAAATGTCCCCAGAACTAGCATAGCAAATAGTGATTAACCATGATCATCATGTATAAGGGCACCCCAGTGCGCAGAATAGGCAATAGCTCCTGCCTCATCCACAAACGCAGGACATTCCTAGCACATATCATTTAAACCTAAGCCACAGCAAGAAGTTGCCAAGCTTGAAGGAGAGACAAGTTTTGTGGGGAACTCTTGAATTTGATTGTGACTAATCTATCTTTGATGATTTGCAAGACACACTTCACAAGACTTCTACAATCCCTAAACTGGTTTGTATGGAGTCTTCTATTCCTTTCCTTCCATATTATATACACAGTAGTTGCCAAGCACAACTTCTTTAACACCTTACCAAGTGACTTACCTTTCCAACTTTGACTTGCATAATCGATGAAATTCTGCCAAGAGCTCGGTAGACCTTGTTCACCACACAGTTGCATAATAAAAATACAAATATCTTGTGAGAACTAGCAACTAAAAAAGAGGTGAGAATGAGATTTCATGTCCTGCCTACATAGGATACATGTCACATCAACAGCCAGCGCAAATTTTTGCATTCTATCTTTAGTGCTAAGTCTTTCCTTTATTGTTAGCCAAAGAATGAAGCTCATCCTGGGTATGCATTGTCCATACCACAGCAGATGGTGCCAAGGTACCTCTTGCCCAGGGGCCCTAAGGTGATTCCAAGCCGAATAAGAAGAAAATTGTCCATTTGTTGCTATAGTCCACTTCATCTGGTCTTCCTTATTTGTCAGAGGAATATATGTAGGCGTATGATTTGAAATCTCCAAGAGATCAGGTGTACCTGTGGAAAGCCATGACCACCTATTGTTGCCCACAATTGCAGCCACGTTAGCATCCTTAGGTAACCTTGTATGATCAATAACATTATCACTCTATCTAAGTAG